GGATTTAAGGAAATGACTAATGTTTGTTTTGTAGTGTTTGCGCATTGCATTGTTCACTGAAGGACCACCTGAGTTTAACCTCTCATTCACCAGCACTCACAAGGGAATTCAGGTGTTTTTATAAGCATCCTTCCATCACTTTATCTTGATATATTATAGCAACATAGTGGACAATAATTATACCTTGTCAGCTGGGCTTTGAATGCTTTTTATGAAGAAGGCAGATAAGGAGGAAGATGCAGTTTTACCAGCTGCACCTAGTCAGACCTACTAGTTGATTTACTACATGTTCTCTTCCTTGTGTATGTATCTGTATCTGATCAGACTAAAGGATGTGTTGGACCATGAGGTACAAGTATTCTGCAGCTAGTCGTACATTGTTGTCATTGAATTTTAATTGTATCGTAATGGAATCTAATCGTACACACCATATCATGCGTTGAATTGTATCAAGAAAAAAAGAAACACATTGTCCCATCCCCAGCAGCACAGCAAATGTTCAGCTCCGCTTCCCCTCATCCTGTCAAGTTGTAATGAATCAGGCTGGAATTATAATCACGTTGACCTCATGTTTGTTCCTAATGGTTGCTTTCTTCTGAAATGAGCCGCCTGCCTGGTATTTGTCATAAGGCCATTTACATGGATGCCGCTTGATGTTAAAGACATCACCTCTGCCTGAGAGCCAGTTCTTCACCCTGCTCACCACTTTTCTCTCCACAAAAGACACAAACACATGGTCCCCTGTATAAAATCGCTCCTTCTTAAGCAAGTCCACAAAACTTTGAAATATCTGGACTCTATGCCAAAATCAGAAAGCCTGGATCAACTATACCTGCGGTGCAGAGAACAGCATGAGGTTCAGCCGAAGGCTGCTGCACCAAACGATAAAATCTTGGATTAAAAAAAACACTCTTCCTCTCAAAGTAATATTCCAGACTTATTTTGTCTTCTTGTGTGCCTGAAATGGTTGCATACATTTAAAACATGACATTAAATTCATCATAGCCATTATGCATATGTCATTAGCAGAGCTCTCATAGTCATGTTGGGTAATACGGTATCACTGAATCAGAAATGGTTATTAATCAACAAGTCAGCTGAAGGTTTATCATTATAGCTCGAAAGCAACTTTGCATTGCATCACGCCTGTTGTTCTGCTCTTGTTTCTAAACTGAAGTGCAAGAAGAGTTTCTGCACTCCCATCAAACTGCAAAGCAGCGTCCAGTCAGTAGTGGCACACGTCATTTACTGTGTTTCATTTGTCTGCACTTGTCTGAACCAAATGTCTGGTCTAATTCTGCATTGTTCCTCAAATTACCAAGTTCAAAAGAAAAAAGATTTTAACCACAGTTGGACTATTTGCTAGAAACGGCAGTGCAGACATCTTAGTAACCTAATCTCTGGCACAGTTGTTTGTGATTGTGTTGTGGCGGTCGATCCTGCTGCTACAGTATTTGCATAACCAGTGCAGCTGGTTCGAGCAGCGTTCTCACCCTACAGGCGCTTCCCAGGCTGCTGGCAGCTTCAGCTTTTCTCACTGTGAACATTGTCTTAATGTCATCTCCATAAGCGTCCCTTTAATTTATCAAGTGTCCCCTCAGGTGACAGCTCGGATAAGGCAGCAGTTGGATTAGTATCATGACAAGTTCTTAATCTTTACCTTTTTAAAGTGTTGTTATTATAGCATTCCACCTTAACTAGACAGCTGAGAGAAGAGAAGTATGAGGGAGTAAGAGTAGGATACCTTGTGACTCAGCTTCAGGACTCAACCCTGGGTGCTGTATGGTATGCACCTTTGGCCACAAGGCTAACAGCATGTCTTGTTATTGTTTACGTTGACCTACATAAGAAATTTCACAAAGAGATGTTTAAGCAAGTGCAAGCAAAAACTGTGCAATAAACAACCAGATGATCCGAGGACTTTGCCCCAGTAGAGATTTGTTTTGACACACTACAGGTTGTTTTCGACCTGCTGCTCCAGTTTTTCTTAAACAAATCAGTCCTGTTAAGGTGCTGGTAAAGGATTACGAGTAATGTGCAGAGAGGTTGATAACTACATGTTCCTTGAATCCGCAATCTGCAGAAGCTTGTCATGTTTTTCTTTCTGAGATGTAGAAACTCTTTGTTTCTGTTTTTCTTACACTTAACACAGCGCAGCAGCAAGACCCAACACATCTCACGAACAAGGTATTTGCTGTTCCCTACATGTCGTTAAATAAAGACAAAAGTACATGTTGTCGTGTCGAACACGCCCTCAGCTAATGTTCCCTTCCCATCCACCCACAGAGCTGAAAGTGTTGTGTTCGGCAGTATGATGGGGGTTAATGTCTTTTATTTAACATTCACAGAAATGTGTGTAATATAATCGGTCCTGAAGATTGTTTGGGTGATGGTTCAGTTTTACCTTGTAACAAACTGCCAATGTTCCTCTGACTTTTTCTGGCTCTGTCTTTCCTCAGTGTGGCTTCTTAGTTATAGTGCTGAAACAAGTGAAATTAATCACTCAAACTGTTTTTTGGCAGTTATTAAAGTGAGAAAACCTAATGACAGAATTTTATTTGGGATTGGGAATTTATCACTAAAGTCAAGTAAATATTGAACATTTATTAGTTATAGCTTGGATATAATGACTTACTACTTTCTGCAAATAATTTTTATGTGAAGACATTGCTGTTGTACTGTGGCAACTCGTGATGAGCATTCGTAATATAATAGACCCAAATATTCACTTCTTCTGCGGGAAAATGAGTGAATGAATGAATGAATGAATGAATGAATATTCACTTCTTAATAAAAAAAATAACATCAGTGAATTGGACAAGAAAAATCTTTTTGGTGGCACTATTTTCTTGCTTTTTGTGCAAGTTAACGTGGTGGACATAGCGGCGACAGGCTTGCATGAGAACAGCAGAATCGGTGCTTCATCAGAATCTTTCCGACATCATCCCCAGCCCTCATCTCTTCCTTCTCTTCTGTTCTGTGCAAATGTGACAGGACTGTTTGTCGTCCTCACAGGTGTTCTGTGTGCCGTGACTACCTCACCACCTGGTACTACAAGAAGGATGGCATGCTGTACTGTCGCAGTCACTACTGGGAGAAGTTTGGAGAGCTCTGTCGTGGTTGCTCTCTGCTCATGACTGGGCCTGCCATGGTAAGTCTGCCGCGCTTGTTCTGACACGTTTGTCAAAAGAGCTTTAGGCAGTTGTGGTCTTTTGGTCCCAAACGGTCCCCATTATGCCACAGGGGGTATAGATGAAAACTAATAGTTTCAGTTGCACTTGAAGACTAAAGGGGAACTCCATTTGTTTAATGTCAAAGTTATACCCAGCCCTTTTTTCTAAACAGGGCTGTGCCATATGAAAGGCGTGGACATTTTCCAGGCAACTAGGATGTATCAAACAGCATTATCAGGTTGTATTATGGGAAGTGTAGGATTCAGGGTTTTTAAGAACCCATACAGGAGACTAAAAGTGAGGAGAGCTTTGATATCTTATACCCATTCTTCTTCTTTCCCTGGTTTAGTGTTAGCATGGTTATATTCTTTTAGATTGTTTTGTTTTTTTCTCTGTTTTCTGGTTGCGAGTGCATGAGGCTTCAGAGTAATAAATCCCAACACAGAGTCAAAACTTTGACCACGGTTGCTACATGTGACTGCCAGGCTTTCAACGTCTGTCTTGCCATGAATTATATAACAGCGATTGCCAACAATTTCGCCCTCTGCTTAAGTAATACCAGAACGCCCACAGACCGTGTCAGTGCCCACTGTGTTCCCAGTTCTGCCTGCTGCTCCAGATGAATACTACCACGCATTAAAAGGCAGGGGGCCTGTTTTTGTGGTGATTACATATGAGTGATAGTTCACATAGGTGGCTGCTGAACATAGCAGATTGGACCCTGGACTTGTGAATTAGTTTCCCCTCTTGAGGCCCCATCTGTTCCTTCTTAGTACAGAAGTTCTCCACAGTTCACTTCTTCAAGTACGTAGAGGATATAGTGGTAAAACGCTACAAAATGAGGTGGTTTTGGAGCCCATCATGTTGAGTCCTCTGTGGTGGGGTGAGTCTGTAGTTATTACCCACAGACTACCGTTCTTATAATGATTGATCCTGATGGGTTTTCGGAAGTCAAGTATCTGTTGTTAAAGCAAGTAGAAGAAGAAGAAACAACACTGTTGTGTTCTAGCATTTACCATAGTCCTGTAGTTCTGTAGTGTCACCTAAAGAGGAAATGCCCGTTTTTACTTTTTAGCTAATTTCTATTGTTTTGCCTTTAGTCAAGTCCCAGCTAATTGAGCAGTCTTTGTTTGATATATAGCTGTCAAAGTGTGATTTATATTCCTTGGTGCAAATCCCGTTACTTATGCAAAAGACCAATCAAATACTTAACCGTTCACAGACTAATTGTGCCTTCAGACTGATATGGACTATGAATTAGATTCATCATTTCTAAAGAAACTACAGTCAAATGCAGAGGCCAGTGTGCATTTAAAGTAGATTTAAAATAACCAAGAGAAATTGGCGCATGTTGAATTGAATCCAAATGTCTGTCAGCTTTGATTTAATATCTACAAGCTGAAACATGAAATTCAAGTGGCAGCAGTTTTCACTGGTCACGGCTGGGGTCACTTGTCTAACATGGAGCCAGACTGAAGTTTTTCTTTTTGCCACCAAGCAGCACACATAATAGACTCTTCTATTTAGTATTGGCATGCTGCTTCATCAGCTGGCGAAGCCAAGTGTTTTTGGCAGAGCTGCATTGGCACTGCAGTCTGTCAACCAGAAAGGGAATCATTGTGGTCCATCAGCACAGGAGGGTCATACAGAGCTGCTGCTGTTTGTTAGTCATTCAAGTCCAGAGGACTATTGTTTGTGTCCTGGACTCAGTTATTTGTTAGGTTATTGAATGATGGATTGAAGATGGGTTTTTGATGATCGCTTTATATAATTTAACTGCCTTTGTTGTCCTGATTTCTCATCTTTTGCTGCTCCACAATGAGCCCTGCCTAATTGTTCTTCAGTTTGATCTTGTTTTTATGGCTCTGTTGATGATAAAGCCTAAGGCAAGTTGTGACTGCAGTCAGAGGTAGTGGTTCTGCTCCTGGCCTTAAGGCAGGGAGTTAACGTCAGACTCTTGAGGTGTCACAATGATTTGGTTGATATCACTGTCTCTCTGTAGCAGCGAGGGATCCTTTCCCAGCACTGCCTCACTGGTTCAGGTCTGTTGTAAATGTAGGAGCATGTGTTTACATTGCAGACAACTAAACAATGATAGTGTAGCTGTGTCCACAGTCAGTTTACAGGCAAAAACAGAAAACAAATGATAGTCTGTGAGCCAGTTTTAGAAGGTTGAAAGTGAGAACGTCAGCGAGATTAGTGGCGCTGACCTGCAGAGGGAGGTGACATCATAGCAGATTCCAGACAGACTGAGAGCAAAGCCAGTGTTACACCACTCACAGCAGGAGGAGGGCAGAAAGCAACACCTTGCACAACACACATTCTGCATCCTCGCCATCAACACACTACCTCTTTCTGCTTTGTGCTGTTTGATTAGTCTGGAGCTGCTTTGTTTGTGGTTCCAGGTGGCCGGAGAACACAAGTATCACCCTGAGTGCTTTGTGTGTCTGAGTTGCAAAGTGGTGATTGAGGACAGAGACACCTATGCGTTGGTCGAGCGCTCAAAACTCTACTGGTAAGTCACCTACACATGTCTGTTTTTGTAAAGCTATTTGCAGTATTGACACTATTTGATTTAGAACAGTTGCAGCCATCAGTACAAAAAGTGACATGTTTATTTGGGTCAACGTCTTTAAAGTCTCAGTAAGTGGGCTAATTTTATAGTGTGGATGTAACATATAGGAAGTTGTTGACACACTAGTGTAATAAAAGAAGTAATAATAGTGTTGCTGCTAGGTTATGATATTTTCACAGTATGATAACTGTCTCAGAAAATATCACGGCTCATGTTATATGGTATTACCATTATTATCAGCTACAACAACCCTCAAAGGAATGAAAACAAAAGGGCCTTTTTTTAAATGTCAGATGACTGTGCAAGTTGAGCTGGATTGCAGCACTTGACCCTGAAGAATAAACAGAATTATAAACATGATTTTAAAAAGCATGTAACTGTAACATATTATATTACTAAAGTAGGTTAGTTTGCATGTTGGCACCAGTAGTAAAGGAAGTACTCACATCCTCTACTTAAGTAAAAGTTGCCTTTTCTGCTACAAGTAAAAGTCCTGCATTGGAAATGTTAAGTAAAACTAAGCATCATTAATTAAAGTATTAAATGTAGAAGTAGGCTACTTAATACTGTAATCTCACACTGCTGATTTTAATTTCTTAATATGTGGATGGAGTTTGGTGATTTCACCCTCATTCTCTCTGCCATTTGTCTGCTGCATGTGTGTGTGTGTGGTGCCCGAGGCAGAGTCCAACGGGCATTGTATTTTTAATTTCAATACTGGTAAGATGCAAATGTGCATGATGTGATAACCATCAGTTTTCATACCATTGCAAACCATGAAACCAGTGCAACCCTAGTCGCTGCATGTGAACTCAACATTATCTTTTAGTAGAGTTCCTATTCCTCCTTTCATCAGACTTCCTAACATTTAATTAATTGTAATGTACAATGCATCATCATCAGTTTTTTACTCATGTAAGACAGGTTTGAAGACGCATCCTAAAGTTAATGTTCAGCCTTAAGTGTTGTTAGTCATTAGTGGTTATTTCATGATGGCACAACAAGCACCTGCCCCCACATGCACTGATTCTCTCCCTCTGCTAATGTTTACAGTGGAAAGTGCTACAAGCAAGTGGTCCTTACACCCATGTTGGAAAAGCGATCACACGACTCAGTCCTAGACTCCCTGCCCCACACGCTGACCCTCATCTCAATGCCCTCTGCAACCAATGGAAAAAGGGGCTTCTCCGTCTCAGTGCTGAGGGATGTCGGTGGCTCAGTGAATGTGCAAGTCAAAGAGTAAGTGGCACCTGATAGAGACTGATACTGTATCTGTACTGATCTCATACAGTATCTCTGTGGGAACAGCATGAGTAATGCTGTAAGAGTAAGATTGAGTATAGGTTTGCTAAATAGCAGGGCACTTGTGTGTGTGTGTGTGCGCCACTGTGGGAAAAGGTGGTTATTAATGCTTTGATATGATGTGCTGTAACAGTATCAGTCCATCATGTCTTCTCAGTCCCAGTTTGACTAGCAGATGGACCTAGTTCTTCTTTACTTTCTGTCTTTAAATTGGTATGTTCTTTGTACCATGCTAATGCTCACATAGTAGTGTTGCTCCTGTGTTGTTCAGGGTCAGAGAAATGCTTATAAGTCCAGAGGTGCGAAATGCCATCCATGTTGGGGACCGGATCCTGGAGATCAACGGCCTTCCAGTTGGAACGTTGATGGAGGAGGAGGTGAGTGTATATACCTACTTACTCACAAATCTCTTGTATTCTTACTGCCACTTGCAAAGCTATGTTCTTATTGTATGACAGCTACACATGAGTTTAGGCATTCCTCACATTCCTGCATCATTTATACATACCTCATCTGGGAGAGGATGGCATGTGGATTGACTGCATTTAAAGGCTCATTCCCACAACCTCACCCTCAAAAACTGCAGGCATTTGTTGCTTTGATTTTGGTTTTGTTTTACAGAGAACCTCTCTGACTTAAGTGGACATCCGTTTTCTGTCACTCCTGTTAGAGCTGAATTTAGGAAAATCATTTGTAATATACAGTAGCTGCCGTGCGCGGCTTCAAATCTGAATGGGCATTGTTATTTTCAGCAGAAGAACAAACAGTTGGCAGTGTGTTTTTCTACCTCGTAGTGTAGTTTTTACCACATGAACGAACAAATGTGACAATTAACAATCCACACTTCGATTAAAATCAAATTATATTTATTGTGAGAAATCCTGGCAAGAGTGTTCCTGAGATGCAATCATCATGGTTTATTTAGGTGGACCATCTCATCCACCACACCAGTCACACGCTGCAGCTGCTTATAGAGTATGATCCAGTCAGGCAGCGTTTGGATCGGCTCAAACTGGGATCACCCAGGCTGGGGGTGCCGGCCACCTCCCGCATGCGTCTGTCCTCACCTTCTGATGCAGTTCTGGACGTGGATGTGGCTGAAGAGGGCACACTGAAAAGGAGGTCTTTGAGGTATGTTAGAGCAGCCTAAAACTATACAGCTTACACATCTGGACAAGAGATAAATGGTTCTGTTGTTAATTTTAGTGTTCTCTCTCCTCCAGGCGTAGCAACAGCATATGTAGGTCACCTGGGCCAACCTCCCCCAGAGAGCTGCCTTTTATCACACGAGACATTGGGCGCTCTGAATCCTTGAGATCCTACAGTAGCTGCTCTCATCGCATCTTCCGGCCATGTGACCTCATCCATGGAGAGATCTTAGGAAAGGGCTTCTTCGGACAGGCTATCAAGGTCAGCCTCCAACCTGGCTTCTGTTCTTCAGCATTTATTTTACTTCTGCCAATCAGGGAGGTTTTGGTCTCTCATGTCACGGGCTTCAGGTGATACAGATGTTGCTTTTGTTGCACCGACAGGTGACTCATAAAGCCACAGGAGAGGTGATGGTGATGAAGCAGCTGATCCGCTGTGATGAGGAGACTCAGAAAACTTTCTTAAAAGAGGTTGGTAATTTGCGGCAGGAGACCCGTTTCCTCGCGGTCTTCTGGCTCTGCATGGACCTGAGGTTTATTATACTCATACATAAAAGCATGCTCACACGTTCAGCCGTTACCTCTTTGGACCTTGTTATTTTGAGGTTGAGAACTTGTTTCTTTCTGTCACTTGTCTTCAGGTTAAAGTAATGCGAAACCTGGATCATCCCCACGTCTTGAAGTTCATCGGTGTGCTGTACAAGGATAAGAAGCTCAATTTGATAACTGAGTATATTGAGGGAGGCACCCTGAAGGATTTCATCAGAGACACCGTGAGTTAAACTAGTTGATTCACTTAACTGTCTTCATGTCCTCTTCAAGTGGAGCACAAAAACACCTGCAGTGGCCACAGAAAGAGCTGTTTGCAGCTCATAGTCATGTTGGAGGGGGCTGACCTGAAGTAAACTGTGCACTCGTGTCTTTAGTGGCCAAGCTGTGCAATGAGAAAAGTTGTAGACAGTGTTCCCAGGTGACATTTAACTGTTTCTGAGGAGCAGTTCAGCTCAGCACATGGCACAAGGAGGAGAGTACATGGAAGAGGGGCAGATTTGATTTTAATGGTGGTGTTGTTTTGGTTATTGTTAATGGTTCCTGTCTCTACACCTCTACACTGGTACAGAATCATTCTGTATGCATTATGGGCTCAGAGGGAGCTTCTATTCACTTCTCTCTCTCTCTCTCTCTCTTTTTTTTTGGTTTTCTCTTTACTTTAACAGGACCCGTTTCCATGGGAGCAAAGGGTGAGCTTTGCAAAGAGCATTGCTTCTGGCATGGTGAGTTGGCCTCCAGAACAGTTACCATTAGTGAAGTCTTTGGCTGTTATTTTCAACTGTATGTAAATGCACCATAGAGCACAACGTATTGCACTGCTTGGCAGAGATTTAATGCCATCTAAATTTAGCCACTCATTCTGCCTCATAGAGGAAAAGGATTAAAAGTGTTAACAAATGGAAGGATTTAAGTTTAAAGATTTACTGTATACAAATGAATTTTGTTGCACGGTTGTGAAATCTGCCCTCAACTGTTCTTGTTGTTTCAGGCCTACCTTCACTCGATGAGCATCATACACAGAGACCTTAACTCTGACAACTGCCTGGTTAAACTGGTAGATAACACTGCACCTTGCTAAACATCACACATCATAACATTTGAAAAATAAACATAAGGGGTGTGAGTGATTTGTGCTGGGATGCATTCAGTTGTATTTCCCAGCCCTGTGATTTGCCAAGACAGTAGTGTCTATAGAAATAAGAGTAGTTATAAACCTTTTTTAAAGGTTTAATGTGAATTCAAAACTATATTGCATTATATAAGCAGATGCTAATAGAACCTGCAAGATCATTTACTTTGTTAATGATTCCTTCACCTTATTTTTAACATTTATTTAGCTTCCATTAGAGATGCACCGATTGCAGTTGCCTTGGTCAATTCCGAATAATTTTTTAAGTCTGACCTGCCAATTCCAATTTTCTTTGTAAGAACTGTAATCGACAGCATGCAGAGAAACGTTTGTAACTTTCCTTTAATGAAAATTTGAATTAAAATATGGATGAAACTGTGTATTAAAGTTTTTGCCGATTGGCTGGTCACCGGTCAAGGCCAGTTACGCTGAAACCTGGCCGTTTCCAATCTTCGCTGATCGACTGGTGCATCTCTAGGTTCCATGAGTAACTAAAAACCCCACAAGGTTCAACCTGATATTTTATAACTCTCTCAGTTGGATGTTAGACCATCATATGCTTAGTTAAGGTTTTATACCAAGTTCAGAACGAACTGTTTTAGTTTTCGTCTTTCAACAGGACAACACTGTGGTCGTTGCTGACTTTGGACTCTCCCGACTCATCGTAGATGATAAAGTTGAAAAACCTTCCACTAAGAGGAGGGTGTTCAAACGTATTGACCGAAAGAAGCGGTACACTGTTGTGGGAAACCCTTACTGGATGGCCCCAGAGATGCTAAATGGTGAGCTGCAGACACACAGAAAAAGAATTTCCAACTTGATTTACAGAGGATCATGCTCTCTGTGGGTCAGTGAATGCATTTACTTATTTTTTTTTTTTTTTTACCGGATGTTATTTTAGGCAAACATGTTATTTTAGGTAAACGCTATGATGAGAAGGTGGACATTTTCTCATTTGGAATTGTACTTTGTGAGGTGAGTTTCTGGTTTTAAGAACTTTTTCTACTTTGGTGCTTTGATGCAGTGCCTTACTGTAAAACCTTGGATGTGGAAGCTTCTAGGAAGCCACCAGAAATAGTTTTCAAAACACCATCTCCTCGCAGCTTTATTATCAGATCATGGTGACACAACCATGTCAAAATATTGGATTACCAAGCAAGTTTCAAGTTTACAGTTCTAAAGTGCAGCTGTTGCTTTAAAAAATACTAGGCTGTGATGCATTTTAGGCTCCACTGTATTTAACTGGCTAAAACTTGTTCGTTTCTATGCTTAATTTATTCTCCCTGATATTTCTAGACTGACCTTGATCTCTGTCCTCTGCCTTATTATCTAGATCATTGGAAAGGTCTATGCAGACCCTGAGTGCCTCCCCAGGACTCTGGACTTTGGCCTGAATGTTGGCAAATTTGTGGAGAAGTTCCTCCCTGATGACTGTCCACCAGCTTTCTTCCCGCTGGCTGTGGCCTGCTGTGACCTCACACCAGACAACCGGTGAGCACCTTCTGTTATTGTCATGGTTAATAGCTTACACTTGATTTATTATGTAAAGGTAATTTTCTGCAGAATTACTGACCAAACTGCTTGTTAATAACCCAAACAAGGCAGAATTACTCATATGGCCTCCCTTTAGTATCTGGGCAGTTATTTGAACCCAAGAGTCTGTAGGTGCAGTGGGCAGGGGGGCGCCAGGCGACAACTACTTTCAGATGGCATTTTGTCCTGCCTGCACAGGGACACACCTGTGCCGTCAGATTGCTTCCTCATGTTTTCTCTCAGCCTAGTCAGTCTGGTTTTAACCTCAAACCTCTCCGTGTGTCCTCCCACAGCCCACCTTTCCAGAAGCTGGAGGACTGGTTTGAAGCTCTGTCCCTGAACCAGGAGCTGAGGATCCCCCTGCCAGCAGAACTGGACGAACTGCATCACAGTCTGAGTCGTCTCTACTGGCCTAAAGACAGCTCTCCACCCCAAAGCACAGACCAGTCATCAACCCCAACAGCAGCCTGTCCAGACTGTTCCAGTGTGACAGACACCTAAGACCTATGCCTCTCTTGTTTTTAGCCATCTGAACTCCTGCACTAATACTGTGGATGGGGACAAATGGGAAATTGCATTGAACCTGAGCCATATTAGAACTGGACAACCTGAGGTAGCTGGACCAGTCTCCCTGTGTGGGACCTTAACTCAGTGCCAGTGAACTGCAGTGTGAGTGGAGAGAGACATTTCAAAAGACAAGTATTAATTACTAAAAAATTTTTTTTTACACTCTAGTCAGATGCCACTCACACTCAACACACTAATGTTTACTGTGTATAAAGACAAAAACCAACTTTCTGTGGTCTTCTTCCTGACAGCCTCTTTATAAAGTGGAAAACCACGATATGTTCCCATGTGACAGCAGTTTTGTTTTTCTGGCTTTGAAGTTGTTGTTTGCCATGTGTGGAATGTGCCGATCGGTCCTTGCCTGAAGGAGGACTGACTTCACCACAGCAGGAAAGAAAACATTAGATAGCTTAGCTTACTGACATGTCCAAGTAAACACAGGGCAGGGCTGGAAGAGAACAGGAGTGACTTAAAGCAACAGTGGGAGCAAAACAAACACTGAATAGTTTCATCACTATCTGTCTACTGCTTATCTTTGCCATCTTGTGTGGTGAAGGAATGTTTAGATTTAGTTTTTTTGTTTTTTTTTTCCATTGACGCACCACTGATATAATTTTTGACAAGATGGATACAAGTCTGCTTCTTATCACTTCTCAGAATGATTAATGAACACTATTTAGAATTTTGCAACACTGACATTTTGTTCAATTTCCTCCAAACACCTGTCTATTAAAAAAAAACAGGCTGTTATTAATAATTGTCTGACTAATAATTGTCATGCCAGAGTTGACTTTAACAAGTGGCCTTGTACAGAAGAACATTTTGTTTTCATGAGTATTGTGTACAAATATGTACATATGACTTAACTGGATGTAATTTTTCAATCATAGTTCTAAATTTGTAGATTTTTTTTTTGACATTTCCTCAGTGATTGACGTTTTTGCCTTTTTTGCTATTATCATGCAAGGTACTGACGACCATTTATAACCACTATTTATATTGCTGTGGTGTTTCATAAATAAACCCTCCAAAAAATGGCTTTTGTTTGCTATTCAGTACTGTATATCAAGAAAACGGTGACTAAGCATCAGCTCTTCTGTTCTGTTCTTTTTTTTTTCCTTTAGCTGTTTGTCCCACTTGTACTATTTATCTTACAATAACAAGGTGGTTTTTCACTTGACTCTGACTGATATATTTAAGAACTGCCAACAGAGGGAGCCGGTGCACAACATTCCTACTGTGAACAAACCTGGAACAAAAGACACTTGAACCTCCCAGCCATTCCTGTTGCATTATGTTGTAGTAGAGGGAAAAAAACAATCCCTCTGCTTCTGTAATCTGTACAAATGACACCCTATCCCTGTGTATGCGCTTTATTTCAGTTGCGAGGGCAGAAACCTGCATTCATACAAATTCACGTATCAACTATAAATGCTGAACAACAGTAGTTTGAACATATTGCTTATAATGAGAAAAAAAATTATTATACACAACACAGTCATGTCAGATGATGGAGCAGCAGTAACCAAAGATTGTCAGTGATGTGGACCCAGCAGTAATCACTGGCAATACACTGAGAATTAACAGTAAATGATGTAACAAAATAAAATCAGTGTACAGTGATTTTCAGGCAGATGTTTTCTAAATGTCCTTTTTAGTTTGCAGTTCTACTTTTGCAGATGCAAAAATTGCCTCTGAATACAAAGATACAGCAAATGACCATGTACATGCATTGATGTTTTTCTTAATGAACAAACTTTGGACTGTTTCTGTTCTACTCCATTCCTTCCCCCTATCCAGAAGCATTAAGTGCATAACTCAAATGTCTGAATCTAATCTAGGCTTCTTCGGCACTTCAACACATGCTGTCCTGCTCTGCAAAGGCACACTTCAGGCCTTTTCTTTTTCTGGTCCAGTCTGGACTGTGTTGGGGCAGTGCTATTTTGTCACAAGGACCAACTACTGTCTCTCATGTGTCATGAGAGCACTGTATATTTCCTGTTACTCCTTAACCTGTGGAAGAAAAGGGCTAATCCTATTTCATGTCTGCGGGTGACCAGGCTTTGTGACCACATCGGCCCCCCAGCTGAGTGCAAAGTGAAAATAAAATTTGTAAAAATACATTCATTAGTATCGTACTAAGGCAATTTCTGAGGTGAAGGCCTTCCCTTGTCTTTAAGTAGGCCCATTTTACCTCATGTGCCTCCATCCTGTCTCAGAGGAGGACTACTGGGACACACATCTGTCACCACTGTCTCTCCAAGACAAAGCAGTCGTGAATGATGTTTGCTTCTCCCGGGTCAGCACAAAAGAAAATAAGACACGAATAATCATGTAACCACATCTCCTGTAGAGAGCGCCTTCTCCATATGGAAACTTACAAAGGTTATTCTCCTATTACAAACACAACCTCTTAATAAAGAAAATGATTTTGTCACTAACTAGTCAATGTCCATTTGACTAGATACTGTTATTTAAGGAAACAGCCCATGACCATTTTCTTGGCTATCAAATATTAACAAGAGATGCACCTTAGTTTTCTCATTGTTAGGACTGTATCCATTTTCTGTCAGCTTATCTTTTTGTGCCTCAGATGTATACAAACCAAACAAGTGGGAACACAAATAACAGCATTCAGTTCAAGTCTTTGGAATGAACACTGCTCCCCTAACTCCTTTTAAAACGGTGGTTAGCCAGGAGACCAGAAAAGACACAGGGAGATGTGTGTTTTGGTCCACAAAGTCCAGTTTGACGACCATGTGCCTATTCATGCTCCAGGGGTGCCGGCCTGCTGGCCCATGAGTGGGTCCTCACCCTCCACGCCGTCCTGGACAGGGGCGCGCTCGTGCTCCACTGTGATTACGATGGTGTTCTCATCTACCAGCTCACAGGTTGGGTTGGAGAAAGCTGATAGGGGCAGGGTGATCCTCTGCATCTCGCGCTCATACACTCGCTGCTCATGCTTCTTCTTTAAGTCCTGAGCCCTAAACACAAACAAACAGATTCATTATGCTGTTAGAAATCTAGAGTTAGACCTCAAATATTTAAACCTGCAATTATTGAATTTTTGTGTCACTTGGTAGCAGCACAAACAACCTGTGACCCAAACACTGACCTTTTAAGATGTTACACATTCACCGGCCACTTTATTAGACACACCTGTATAATTGTATGCAATTCAATGCTACAACATCTGTGTTCAAGAAACTCAAAATGTTTCATTTTTTGGTAAAATTGTCATAAAGGTATAAATTCAATTATACGTTTGTTGAACTGGACTATATTAGTATATTCAGAGGTGTTCCTAATATTCTGACCCTCTTGTGTATGTAGCAAAAAATATAGGGACACCTCATAAACACAGACGTTAAAGAGGAAGTGTTGCATTGATTTGCAAACAACTGTAGAGGTGTACCTAATAAGTGGCTGGTGAGTGGAAGTAAACAGTTAGGGGGAGAGGGGGGCAAGCTACATATTCATTATAAGGAGTTTCAGACAATATGCTGTATGTAGATAACAGGTCCTGTTATAACAAGTGTCTGGTCTGCAACAAAGAAGAAGGACAGATCGTGAAGGGGAACAGTGAGCTGCCAAGCTGGCAAGGAGTTGAGGCAACACAGTGATAAGAAGCAGCACAAAGCTGCTTTCTACTGGTCTGCAGCAGAACAGGGCTATATAGTTACACACTCAGAGATCCAATAACTGCCCGTCTCAGTGCTCTGAAAACACTATATCACCACCAAGGGTTCAGTCATATCTGGGGTTTTTAACACCTCTGCTTTTCACATCTATGTGAATAACAACGCTGTCAAGTCTGTATGACACACAGCTAGACACAGCAGCCAGTTAGCTTAGCTTAGCGCAAAGACTGGAAACTGGAGGTAAACGTTTAGCCTGGCTCTGTCCAAAGAGAACAAAATCTACATCACTTATCCTGTTTTACATTGTTTTTCCCAAAATGTCAAACTATGCAGTCTTCATTTAATAATTACAGGTTGTTAGAGAGGTGTTAAAAACCTATAACTGCATGAACATATGATATGATACAGTATATTTTTTACATAAGGAAGCAGTGCTGTCTAGGGAGCTTCCAAATGGCAGGGTCACAGTACAGCCTCAGACACACAGCATTCACACAGCAGATACTGACTTCTTATAGAAGTAGCCTGATGTGATGCCGACTCCAAGGATGATTATAATCACCATCATGAGGATGCCGAGGACGTAGCCTGAAACGATACAGTGCAAGATTAAAAACCAAACACACATATACAGCCAAAACATATTTAGTTATGGAGCAATGCATGACTTAAAATGTATTCAAACTGCATGTTAGTGTGCACCACCACCATCACATGTGTTTTCAGAGTAATAACACAGTATACCAACGTACCAAGCATGCCAAGGTCTTTCTTCTGTTTGGGCCCTGTGTGCACTCGCTGGCTGACTCCTATTACTGGCTGCAGAGCAGCAACTTCTCCCTGAGAAGCTCCTGACTTGGCCATCTGAACGCTCTCTGTGGAGGGGATGGTTCCTGGTGTGCTGGAGGATTCGGCTTGTTCTGAATATACAATTAAAATACAATAAATGGTTTTTAATTGGCAATGCTTTGGCATCCCCATTGTACTGTCAATGGAAGCCAAATCATATCAGAGAAAAATATATATGCATCTTTCCCCCCGTATACATTCTTTATTTGATCTGTACACATGATATATATGCATGTGTGAAACAACATTGTCAGTAATTGAATTTGCTGAACTAGCACGTATGTCAGTTATTTTGTCCATAAATAGTTTGAGTTGATTTTCTAGTAAATGCCCTTTAACATAACATAACATAACAATTTCCCCTCAGACATGATTACACCATGGTGTAATATTCTATGCCATATTACAGTATGTAGTGTGTTGGGACACTTCTTGTAATAATGCACATAAAATATATTTGGACTTGATTGAAGTGCATCATCTGGACTGTGACATCTCCAAATACTGCTGGTCCAATAAACCTTACCACTGACTCAAATAGCTCATCTACAATAAGAGGACCACCGCCCTCATGAAACCACTGAAAGGAGAATTTATGTGCCAAATGTAAACAGGATATGCATGTTCAACCATATATCACGAGACAGGAAGGTTCAGCCGAGATGTCAACATCTGCTCTTTAACTTTTTTTTCTCCATCATGCTCTTGTTTAGACCTAGCCTGAGTTCAAGAGCATGAGGTCATACTATCAAGCAGCCAATTAAGTGCAGTCTCCAAGGGAAGCCTGGTTGTCTCTGCCAATGGGCTCAGGTTTGGGGTGTGGTTACCGACCTTCCTGCAACTGAACTTTTTGACATGTGACTTCAGCTTTTGTTAGTGTGACTTGTGTTGGCTTTTGAGATAAAAAGGAAAGAAAGGTGAAAGTATACAACAGTTCTCACACTAGTTTAAGCCTGACCATCTGACCTACTAAAGACTAATACTCTTAACTAGGAAAAGTAAACTGATGACTTGATATTTGTGGTAAATAAATACAATGAGAGCTTGAAAAGGTTCGTCTCATTATTTTCCTTAACATATCCCCCATTTTAAAACAATGAGAGCTTCACAGGGAAGACAAATATTAACCCAAGTATCGGTACGGCATAATCTGAAGAACCTCTGTGCATTCTGAGAGAAACGTGCCATCTCAATGTCACCTTGTCATTAATTTTGAGACAGCTTATTTTTATTTTCTACAAATGTATATTTTCTTAGTTTTACCTACCTTTGCATGTGACAATTGTACAAAATTGTCTCTGGACTGTCCCATCTGGCCCTGCAATGTAGCACCAAGGCTTCTCAGAGGAGTCTGGGTTTCTGCAGAAATTGTGATCACCAACACCTACAGGGGGAAATGATAAAACCAGCATGTCTGTTAGTTGTACAGACCTGTCTCTGTCTAATTGTCCAGGCTGAAAACACTGGGACCATTAATTGTTAAGACTCCTTCAGCACACTACAATGAACAGGCTGCCATGAAAACTGAGCACAAAGAAAGGAAATGGCAGCTGCTGAATAAAAGATTGATGCAACACAAATCAGTGTGTGCTGTAAGTATCATGTGTTTACAGCTCTGCATATTTCTAAGATTAAATGCAATCCTGTGGCATCTGCATTAATAAACTATCAAATCTTTCCTCCCATAAGAACACTGCTGTGCCTATCAACATCGGCGGCATTTGTCTTTAGCACTAACACAAAAGAAGACAGACACCAGAAAGAAAATTGAAGTTGTTTACCTGTCTGTGAATCAGGATGACTTTCAACATCATAGTCTCTGCTGGTGTTGGTCCAGTTTAGACAGGCCAGACCAGAAGAGGAGCTCTCTTGTTGCCCTCTGTACTCCACACCATTAGATCTCATGCAGCCTGAAAGTAACAACACAACACATGAACACAACGCTTCAACTTAAGTGACTGCGCAAAAGAGAAACATGCTAAATGTTATTGTGCATATGTTTTGATCTAAATCAGACTACACTGTATCATTTTTACGACAAATGAGAAATTAAATCCAAAACAGCACTCCATAAAGTATCTTTTTTACCTTTTAGATTTCCATCTGATGCGCTGCTCTGCACAAACGCCAAGCTCAGCAAAACAACGTGCAAGGATTTAAACATTTTGCAGAGCTGAATTAACCGACAACGTGGTGATGGAAACGCGAATGTACCTTTTGTCTCAACTAAAATAAAACATACAGAATGTTAGAATGGACGAAGAGCCTGTGTCCAGTGTTCTTTAGACACACTGCTCGCCTTCGTCGAACCCCAGCCCTTGTTTTTCTCAAAGGAGCTTCGTAAACAGCCTTCAAGTAGGGGGGAGGGGGGGGGAGCAGGAGGTGCCCTTTGCAGCACAAACCTCAAGGTCCTAAATCCTCACCAGGTTTAAACGTGCGCACACAGGAAATATCAGCTGAATCTGAACAGTCTGTACCCAACTCTGTGAGAAAAAAACACACCTAGTCCAAACAGCACAGAAAGTCAAGAAAGTAAATTCACTGTTTGTTCGTGCTGAAAAAAAAGGTTGATGTTATGGTTACTTCTATAATCCATCACTTTTCCTTATCCAACAATAAATTGGTTGTCCATGGAGGGCTGCTCTGCTTTCCATTTTCATTTTCAAATGCACTCCGTCATTACTTTCCATTTATAATCCTCATCTAACTGCAGTCTTATCTGGCTCTAAGTGCTTAGTACATCGCTCCAGACCCAATGTTTCCCAGGCTTCCTCTCCACCCAGTGAGGCCTGTTGTTCACCTGGCCTTGACCATTATCATCCTCTGTAGAGTCCACTAGGCCAGCTTGCCTCAGTCTGCCTGTGAGTAGGATGCTGTGTAACCACGCTGTGACATTGTTGGTTGACTGGTAAAGAGAGCAGCTAACGTGTGATTTGGTCAGTGCTCACTAAGCCACTTTTCCAATAGATGTTTACTCAGATTTCAGGCAATTACTAGACAAACACACAGCATCTGCCCATCACTTTCCATCACACGCTGCTCATACAGGGGGCAGGAGCCTCTCCCAGCATGCACTGGGTGACAACCATAAGTCACTAGGCCATTAGAGTGGGCCACATTTGGGACTAAGCCAACTATAGAAGTCCATAGATAGTTAGGACAAACATAACATGCACATATTTAAATGAAAATGATGGAATTTTAAAATAATCATAATTTTGACCTACTTAGTCAAACTAAGCTTTGTGACCAACGTTTCATGTTTTGCTTGTTTTTTCCTTTCCTGACAGAAACAGTCTTCCATAACTACTAGAACAGAGCTGAAGTGATGCAGCAAATTTGCTGGAGACCAGAACTGGGTAATATCTCAACAATTTCATGTGAAATGTTTTGTCAGGAGTGGAAGCAACAGCCAGAATCTGTGACATAGCTGAGGATTAGTTTTTTATTCAAAATAATGACATTCTTATTGGCAAAACAAAATAGACTATAAAAGATTAAAAACCTGTTTTGCTACATCATTACAGGCTTCGCCTTCAACGGACAACTCAACATTCTTTTAATTTTACGAGTTTGGATCCAACTGTGTGCACAAACACACACACACACAAAAAAGTGGCTGTTCCTATTTGGCCATGTTCCCTGTTGACACAGTTTAGTTAATCAGTGATGTCTTTATTATTAGACATGCTGACAAGCTGCCCTACACAGAGCCTAGCTTAAGTTTGATGTTTAGGTTCTTTTTTTTCCTCCCGTTGCGACTCCCCTGAAGTCCTCTGGTGCCCCCCAGGGAGACACATATCACACTTTGATCCCCCGCCCCCCAGGCCTTGTGGTCATTTCTGGCCATCTGTGCTCCCTGTTGTTAAAGAGCCCATGGCGCTCTTCCTTGTTTTTTTTTTTTACTTATCTACAATGTTACAATGGTGAATTATCATCTTAGATGTGACCTAAGATCAAAAAATGAGGCGTATGTATGTTCTAGTACTTATATGCAGAAGCAACTCAGTTTATACAAGCTCTCACTTGTGAGACTTTTTTCTAACAAAATAAAGTATTATACCATCAGACATACATATGCATATCGCTAAAATGTAAACCTCTTTGACATTGTGTTGCAGCAATGCCACCGAAAACCACGGGCTCTATATTCCATATACTTTAGCTCTAGAGCCAGTTATTACTGTTGCGCTATCTGACTGCCACAACTGCCTCTGGCTGTCGTGACCACATATGACGCAGTTTCACAGACAGGGCAGGAAGGGCAGAGAGAAGAGGAGGGGATACTGTGTGAGTTTGTTTTGACTCTCACTTTGCCCTTAATGGTTGAAAATTAGAGGGAAAAGTTAGTTAATGCAGCTTTAAGTGAAACATAGGCACATCGTGGTTGTATAGGAATATGTAAAACAAAGTTATAATTAAATTTAAAAACTGCAGCTCTTCTGGTTTTGAGTCTTATGTTGACAAAGTGGTGGCTTAGATAATGCCCATTAAAAGAATTTATTCATTTCTGACAATATTAATAATATATTCGGAGGAAATACAAATTGCGAGGACAACAACAAAAACCTCCATGTACATTTAATTCCTAGCCTAACACGGTCAAACATCGCATCTGCAAAGGCTTTCAAGTCAGTGTTTGCCTACTACTGAGTGCTGCCCATGTCAAACAAAAGCAGTGGGCGGGCTGCTGATGTCAGACTGCTCTAGTGTGTGGTCTGTTGTGGAGCAACCGGCAGCTTTCTTATCAGATCCAGTCAATCATCTTCAGTCCTCATGTGGTTGGAAAATGGACACTTATCTGAGCAGAAGGCCTTTAATGGAGCATTAATTTGTGTAGTGCATATCCCTGCTGGCCACCGGGCAACCGGTTTCTCCAGATGCTGTTACATTACATCACTACATCAGTCTGAGCAGTGCTACAGCTGAGACATGGCAAACTACTTAGAAGACACAGGAGCACTGCTCTGGGAATAATAATGAGTATACTGCTTGGGCTGATGGTGATCATAAAGACAGACCTGGGGCTATTCTATTGGCAGCCCCCCTGCGTAAAAAAAAAAAAAAAAAAAAGAATAAAGCTCCAGAAAATGTAAAGTTATAATCTCTGGAAGCATTATTGCAAAAGCACAAGGAACAACTGTTTGTTACACTGTCCTCCTCGTGCACGTGACAGTCAATGCCTGGTGAGCCTTCTGCCTGTGTACACAGTATGATGACAGTCAGAAGTAACTGCAGCCACTGAGCTCTTACATAACTCGGTCAGCCTGCCAAGTGCTGCTGGACTTACTTATATGGATGCCATAAGCACTCTGGGACAACTACGTTTATCTTGGGCCATGTTGGTGAAAGGACACTGAGTGTACGAGGAAAGCTACAGTGCCAGCTCTCCAGACAAAACTGCTGTTAAAGCAGAGGGAAAGTGGACGCCGTTCTGACTGAGCTGACTAAGAACTTCCTGTAAAGTCGTGTGCAGGGATGAAGGATCACAAACGTGTCCTACAACTTCGGATGTTTTCAACAGTCGGAGGAGAAAGACAGCCCTGGTGAACAGGCCACAGAGGGCGCTGTGGAAATGGGGGTCCACGAGGAGAGCCAGCCATGCTGGGGTCAGTGTCCGAGCTGGAGAGAGATCACATCATCTGATCACATATCACATGCAAATTTATCAAAAACATTTCCTGCATTCTGACTGACAAGCTAATGTGCTACCTGGCTGGATTTCTTTGCAGACTGCCAGGTTGTTTAGCACCTGTGAGGCACTCTGCTGTGCCCACACACCCAGGCTCTGTGCCAAAGCAGAGGATTCAGAGGATTTTTCAGCCATCTGCAGGAGGTAAGGCAGTACATGTGCACACATCGCAGGGGGTTCTGCAAACACATTGGCCTCATCCTGCTCATACAGACCGGAACATCTAAATAAAAAAAGCAATAATAATGACAGCTAAACATGCAATCAAGGTTGATGTTTGTAATAGGGTATTTGTTTCAGTGAGATAACATACCCAGTCTCAGAGGCCTCTCTCAGCACTGATCTGAGGTCAGGCTGAGGCAGGTGACACAGCAGCACCTCCAGTGTGCCAGGAGTATCCCAGTACTCCTCTAGCAGCAGGTCCAGTAGGAACGGCAGAGCCTGGTTGACCTGCATCAGGTGGACGCTGCTCTTTCTCTCTCCTCTTCTCTTATGGTGCAGCATGGAGGTAAAACAAGCTGCTTTCATCCTCACCTGCTGGCTTTGGTCCTGCAGCAAGTAAAGGCCAGTGCTGATCAACCTAAACCAGAAGAGATGCAATATTTTTCATTTCTGTCCATTAGGGTGGATCACTTAACAGACAGCACTATCTGACTGCCTTCATACCTGATCACGAGGGCCGGCAGAGCGCTGTGTTCTCTCAGGCTGTGGCTCATTAGTGGAACTCCAGCCACACACAGAGCTTCAGCACATGCCTGCCTGAGTACTTCAGGGGCCTCTGGGGAACGGTGGCATTCCAGGATGCTACACCAGTGTTGCAACATGGACATCTTTAGACTGATATACAGAAAGACAAGAAGAAAATCAGAGCTGCGGTTAGAGGTGATCCAGTATGTGGCTCTATGATGAAGAAAGATAACAAGACATGTAAAAACCTGGAATGTGACCACTGGGAAAGCAGCAAACTAGCAGCATACAGAGCTTGGGACAGAAATTCTGGCCCAGTTCCCTGGTCCTCCAGGATCCCAAGCAACAAATCCAGACACTCGGCCAGTGGGACAGACCGAGGACGATGTCCTTCAGCCATCACTGCCACCAGCGCTCTCAGGTAGGTCCTGCGGTACTCCACACTGTGGCTCAACACCGCCTCCTTCAGGTGCGACTGGAGACAGATAACATTAGTACAGCCCTTAAAACCTACCTGTCAAATGATAAATGTGTTTTAAATACCAACCAGGCATAATTATGTAATAATATTTAAAGTTCTTTTGGTTTGTTTTTAAAAGACAGTTATTTCTGATTCTTTAAAAAAAGTAATAACTTTATACTTACCATTATTATAGTAAAACTAAATCAAATATATAAAAAGAGAGTGCTCTAGTCCAAGTAAATGATGAAATAAGGGTAAATAAGTGCTGTAAAATGAATGGCTATGCAACATAAGCAGCAGCCCATATCTGCAGTGTCACATCTTATGTTTATTTTGAAAACAGTCAATTAAACATTAAACAGAATATACATAGGAAAGTATGGTCTAGATAATGTACGTGAACTTTAACACAGCAAATAAAAGTGGTAGATATCCTCAGCATGACTGTACTTACTGTAGGGCTCCATAACTACAGACTATAATATCTTAGAAACACTCCCTTTCTTATGTAAAAGAGAAAAAGAAATCTCCCACCAGACTTCAGCCTCAGCTGGTGTGTTATTTAAGTCTATTTATGCTTCCTCTGTTTTCTCACATTGTGTTCTAAGAAAGTCATTATACTGAAAGCTGTTAGACAGGTTCTGGAAAGGTTGTTTTCCTCATGATGAAGTCTAGGGAGCAGATTAATTCTCACCTGCAACACCCTCTCGATCGCCTCTTTCAAACTGGTCTGCTGCGAACCTCGCCCGTCTGCCAACCACGCAAATAATGAGAGCCTGAGATCAGGGCTTGAGGAAGCAAAGTTGTTCCAGAGTTGACATGCCTGCTTCACATCTGCACATAGAAAGTGGATGGCTCGCCGGTGGAAGGATGACAGCCCAACCTGTCGAGATGTTACATAGAAAAGAGGTTAATACAAAGGGTTTAGGGGTAATAGGATCTTGAGTATTTCTATATAATCTTAAATACTCATGACTAAACAAACAACAATTAAAGTTATAGTTTAGAAGAATTCTTAAATTACGCTTATTCTAACTTTATTGCACCAGAAAATCAATTAATTTGCCTCATCTGGCTTGTGTTTGCTGCAAAATCCTGATTGTTGCACCAAAATATGTGACATCATCTTTTCCAAGAGAGCTTTGCCAACTGCTAACACACTAAACAGCAGTGTCAATGTATGAACCCATCACTTAAAAAATAGGTTTAAGACACTAACCACACAAACGCTGCATTCTGTTTTGATTCCAGGCTAAGGAGCAATGCTTTGTGTTAACTCTCACCCCATGTTTTACATCTATGTATGTATAGCATGTATAGATGTAATACCATCAATAAAAGGCTAAAATATTCCTCTAACAATGTCTGTTTTTAACACTGTATATGGATGTGTCAGTGTGTGTGTCACGCACCTGAAGCCCCCGTTGAGGTGTCTGGAGGTCACGCATGAGCATGTCACTGAGCTTTGACAAGTAAGTCTCACTGCAGAATCTTCTTAGCAAGTCCGCCACGCTGACGTAGACCGCCTTCACCAAGGGGCAGCATTGAGCTTCAGTCACCAGCCACAGTGAGGCATCGACCCTGCTCACGACCTCAGACAGGTCAGCTGAAGGGTCACTGCAAACACAAACACAGTAGGATTTCAAAACCTGTCTGTGTCTGATGAAAGTGTGTGATGAATGAATAAACAGCTCTTTTAAGTCTCACCTGCGTGTGCAGAGAACTCTCTCTAGAACAGCTTTGATCAGCAGCAGCTGTCCATGGAGCCGGTTGTGGTAGCGGCGCTCCTGTGGACCGGGCAGCTGAGCCATCAGTTTTATGAGTATGTTCATGTACTCTGATGGGGGAGTCATGGCAACCAAAGCCTTAGATGCCATAATTCTCACATTGTAAATAGGACTGGCAGACAGCTGGAGCAAAGGAGGCAGGAAGTCTGACAACATTCTGAAATCAGAGAAAACCAGAGAAGACGTTCACTTGGTCAAATGGAGATTCATACATTTAGAAAACCTGGCTCTCTCCCCCACTGCTTTGGGTAAAACACTTATTTGCATTATTGCTGCCAGTTACAGCTGAGGAGACGACTGATACCACTGACATGTCAATGTAATATTGTGGGTTTTGTTACTTTTGGACAGAGCCAGGCTGGCTGTTTCTCCATGTTTCCAGACTTTATGCTAAGCAAAGCCAACCGGCTGCCGGCTCCAGCTACATATTTATAGTGCAAACATGAGAGCAGTATCAACTTTGTAACCTTACTCTTGGCAAAAAAACCAAATAAGTGTATTTCCCAAAATGTCAAACTAATCCTTTTAACCAGTGATCCTCAATCACACCCTCAAGGTCAAAGAATTTACTGATAGCCAATTCAGGTCATTTCTTAGCTTTTTCTTCACTAGTAAAGTTGAGTAAATTATTAAATGCAACGGTCTAACATTTGGTTTAAATAAACACTTGCATACTTTGGGTCTGAATAAAAACTAAGACTTGTAATAGTTCGCCTGACCAAACCATCTAGTAAAAAGTAATCACTCAGTTGCGTCCTGAACACCAGGCTGGAGTTGGGCTAACAGAGTGAGGATGGGGTAGAGTGAGGGTTGGAGGTGAAGCTTGGCCTCATCAGGTGGACCCTGGAGGTCTTGCGCTGCCCCTCTCAGCTTGCCCAAGAGGAAGGGCTGGAGGGTAGGGTAGTGGAAGAAGAAGGTAGAGGGGGACATGCCATGCTGGGTGGGACCACACTCTTCACTGCTGGGCCTCTGACCAAGCATTCGCGAGCACAGAGAGCCTAGAAAAAGGATTTTAATTACTGTAGTACCACAAGTGTTAATTCGAGCAGAACCAAATATATATTCCTGGAAGTGTTATGATAATAAATAAAAATACAAATTTACTGGTTTCAGCTCCTAAAATGTATTTCTTAAATTTTTTCCTTCCAAATGAATAATAACTGAATATTTTGGACAAACAAAATGTGCAGTTTGAATAACAATGTGCATCTTCACATTACAGCCTAAAAGTAAAGCTCTTAATGTGTTTGTGTCTCACTGTAAAGTTGCAGAGCAGCATTTCTCATGGCCCAGCAGGGAGAGCTGAGCAGAGTGAGCGACAAGATGGTTACAGCTGGGGCAAACTGAAAGACTGCTCCTCCCAGAGTGGAGCCACGTACCAGGGCCTGCAGAGTGTGAACCGCACACACCTGGAAGGGAATCGACAACAATGTGACCACATCTGTCTTATACATATAAACAGCAATGATCCTCATTCATGTTAGTATGTCTACAAACCTGAGGCAGGTCCAGTGTTTGGTCCCAGTTGTCAGGTAGAGGAGTTTGGGCTGTCTCCAGTAAGGTTTGGATGCTGTGAGCTAACAGAGGTCTTGCGTTACTGGCCTCCTCTGCTGACACAACACACAGAATCAACATAGGCAGCCCAGCAGCCCGCCGGGTCACAGATGTACAACGAGGGGACTGCACAACCTCTAATCCCTGTGAAGAGATGTGAGAGGACATGTCTATAAGGCAGCAGTCCAGCATTTGCATTAATGGAAAATACACACAAGCATGTATCACTGCTCACTTGTTTCAGCATGTTTGTCGGGATAGCTTGAAGCTCTGGGTTATTGCTGCTCAACAGAGAGGCACAGAACTTGGTGAAGCCTATACAACATCCCTCTACTGCCCCCTGGTGACGGGAAATGTGTTTTTCAGAACAGAACGGGAATACTAAGGTGATGCAGACTTAATCCCTCTAAATGGGTTTATCAATCTTACCCAGTGCCGGCATTTGAGAAGAATATTCTGGAATACTTTTGCTGCTCTTTTTAGATCCTCTATTGTCAGAAGGCACCAGCTGGGTTTGGCTGTAGTGACGATTTTCTCCACCAGAGAACCTAAAAAGATTCCTATTTCCTAATAAGGAAACATGAAGGCAAGTAATATTGAGAAAAAAAACTACACCTGCAGTAAATATGCTAAAATGTCAGGTTCTGATATCCCATTAAGCATCTAAATGTCATGAGGCTGTGCTCTTCAGATAGCAGGACGCACTCCTCTCCATCCCCTTGTCCGCCCCTAGATCCTTGAGCTATCAGAGAGCTGATGGCATTTCCCATATCACAAAAAGAAGGGGGAACATCTACGACAGAAGACAGCAATTGTCTGTGATGATGCCATAACGAAATCTGAGATGTTGTGTACTTCATTCGCAGATAAGTACTGTTTCTACACATTTCTCCATTACCCTTTTCAGTGGAACAATCATCCTGGTCTCCATAGAGAACACCCAGCAGCAGCAGAGAGACTTTCTCCAGCAGACCCAGCACCTCAGTCGTCAAACTGTGGTTAAGTGTATCATACACACTGCTGGGTGTCTCAAGCAAACACCTCTGAAGGGCACTTAGAATACCTGGAACATCAATCATGACAGGATTTAAAGAACTAAAAGTTTTCCAAGTTTTCCAGTAAACATCTACATGTTGTACATCTTAAGCTTCACCATGAATAGGTTTGGTTCTGGCAGCAAGCATCATTTCAACTTTGGCTGTCAGATAGTGTTCCTCCAACTCCTTCACCAGGAATCTGACCATGCTGGAGGCCTTGGGGTTAGGTCCACTGCTGACAGTAATGTTACTGTTCAGCCTGCAGCCTTCATGCTGCTCTTGTGATCTACAGATAAACAAAAAGTAACTGGTCGGCCCTTGCATATAAAGCAGGCATAATTCTGAACAGGAGCATACAGGAGCCAAGGCTCACTTCTGTAAGAGGACTTTAGTCATCAGTGCTCCCATCTGAGCCTCCTGCACCCGAGGACTGCACAGAAACTGTTTGATTCGCGTGAGCAGCACTGCAGCTATATCATCTGGAAAACAGGGTGGGAAGAATCTCAACAATAACCCAGCGGAGAGCTCTCGAATCTGTAACGGAAAAAAAAACCTCCTGTATCTATTCTATCTTCATAATCAATCTGATATATAAAAAGACATTGAAGCAAGTAAAGGCAGCTCTACCTCATTTGTAGAATCCTCTAAACAGCTGATAAGGACCAGCTGTTTAGTCCTGCAGAAGAAATCCCACTGTCCTTTTTGTCTAGCACAGTTAATAAGAGACCCCATATTTGCTGCAAAAATGATTTCAAGAAACTCAAAATGCAAACTTAAATAATAAAAGAACTTAAAACTTAACATTTAACAGGAATGCAGAGAACCATGTACTAGCACCACAAAATAGTATTTAAAACAAATTATTTTGTCTTCTTTTCTACATTTTCCAGTCACTGATTTTCCAGACTGACCTGGAGGTTGTCCCTTCTTTTTGTCTGGGCTCCAGGTGTCTGTGCACGTCTCCAGCACCGCAGTCAGCAACAACAACACAGTCTTCTTCCTCTGATAACTGTGTCCTGGTGCCAGATAGCTGTATGGAAGCTGACTCAACCATTCCACAAACCCTATATTGCATACAAAAAAGGTTTTGATGAACAGGAAATTTTTTTAAAAATTACTGAAAAATGCAGGGCTGAGTTTTAAATTACAAACAATGCAACAAAGGCAAATGTTAAGCCTTCATGGGAACTGGTTCCCTTTGCTTTAAAAATTCAAATACACGAATGTTGACTGAAGGACTCATTATTTTAGCAATATTATAACTAGATCCACTACACTATAACTAAATCCTTTTCCACAAAACCTTGTCAAATGAAGTTGCAAAGAAAGCGCACAACATAGTATGATAAATATACATCAGTCTGTAGAGTAGAATATAAATCACCTCACCTATGCCCTGCTCCAAGATATGCTGCGCCTTTTCCGACTGGGCAGCATCTACTTTCTTTTTGCCCTTCTCTCTTCTCTGACGTGCCAAACAGCCGTCTCTGATACGGACCAAAAACCTCTTCACTCCAGCCTGAAAATATTGACGAAAAGATGAGGACTCACAGTTTAGGTTCTGAGGTATAAATATCCTCATTAGTGACATCTCCTCTGAGGTAGGAGTGTCGTTGGTCTTTGGGCTGCAGCAGAGGAGGCTGAGAGCAGCAAGACGGACTTTGTCATCTGCAGATCCCAGAGCTAGATGGAGGGTGTCAAGGGTTGAGCTACCCCGCAGAGCCCATAGTGAGCCTCCAGTCGTAGCTCGATACGAGCTCATGATGCAGGCCCAGGCATAGAGGTGGCCAGGGGCAAACGGGTCCAGAGAGGCGAGCAGGTGTTCCACAGCAGAGGGGAAGACTAGGAAGGTGCAGGGTAGTAAGTATGTTGAGCTGTTGCTCTGTAGGAGAGTCACATCAGATGTCAGTGCCTCGAGAAGGACTGGCCGCCAACGCCTTGCCCACCAATCAGCCAGATCCAGTTCAGTGTGTGAAGCAGACTTTCGTGAGCCATCACACAGCTCGCGCCTCTGCTGTTGGATCAGACACTTATAAAGCTCTGATCCACATGGTGACAGGTGATTGGTTGACAAGCACTTCAGGAGATGATTAGGTATTTCAACATACTGATCCAGCACCTGGTTGATCAAAAAACAATGCATCAAAGTCATCATGACTAATACTGACTACGCATTAACATTATTAACACTGTAATACCTCTTAATCCTCACCATGTCAGTACCCAGATATGGCAGTAGAGCACAAAGGTGATGATATTTGGCTTTTGATTCCCAAGGGAGTTTGATTATTTGCTCAAGTAGAGTAAAATAAAGAGTCTTCTTTGTATCACAAAACTGATCACAGTCCATCTCATAGAGGCCCAGTAGCAGAGAAAACGCACTGCGCACAAGCTCAGACACACCTTCCACCTGGCAACGCACAGTAAGACAGATTATTTAGTACTGACATGGTCAAACCTACAGTATATTCATCATTATTGAGATTATAAAGCCATTTTATTTTGAACTGCAATAATTCTGATAATGTTAATTTGACTCACTGGGCTTTCTGCATTTGTCCACATGATATGAATAAGTTGTTTCTGCAAGCGGCTGTTGTCAGGCAGAAGACGAACATCTGTCATTTTCCAGATGTCAGCCAGACATTCTTTAACTTTCTTCAGCCATAGTGTTAAGACTGCAACAACAAGTCAGGTTTAAACAGGTGATCTTGCAATTTATGCACATGAAAAACCAATCTGGACGTTATTCACCGTCGAAGGCGAAGCAGTGACAATCCATCTTCTCTTCACACAAAGTATAGACCAGAGGAAACAAACCACTCAGCAGTAAACACCTCTGAAAACAAGGAATGGATGGATTTGCTAATAGCACCAAGCACAAACATGTTTCTGACATGAGTTTTTAGTAGATTTACTTCAGTGTCATCCACGTGTGAAGTGAGCAAGATATGAGGTCGACAGCAGGTCAGGAGGCCTCTGCTCACAGCCAGCCTGTCCACTCCATCCATCCCTTTAGGGTTACACTGTACCTGGAGAGCACCAACAGTCAGCAGCCAGGGCTCTGAGAAGTAAGAGAAAGGACAGCTATTCTGTCAGGAATCTCTAGCCAGGCATTCAGTTATAGAATCTGTAATATATGTAGCATTTACAGTTTTGTATAAATAGTACCACAGAGGAAAAAAAACAGCAATTTAAAGGCTAAATTTATTTAAATGTTACCACAACCCCAAAATTTGATTTGCTCATGCTTTTTGTCCAGTGGCATTCGAGGTTACCTACCAAAGTGAGAGACCTGTAGCAGACTCCAGGCAGCAGCTCCTCCTGCTCTGCTCTCTGTCGCCGTGTTGATCAACATGGCCACAGCAGTGCCCGCCAAAAGCCGAGTGTCCCTATTGAAGCACTAAAAGACAGGGCGATCACTGATCAAATGAAACAATGCAACTTAACTGAGATATGTCTTTCAAATAAGTGACTCTGAAATAGTGAATTAGTAAGAAACCTGTCCAAGAATTATGTCCACAAGAGCCTGCAAGATCTTCTGCACTACTGAGTCCTTGTTCTCCTTGTTCCACACTAGAGGAGCTACTTCACTAGACAACAGGTGAAATATTTGCAAACACACCTGCAGAGATCACAGTTCTCAGGTTGGTAACAAAGATCACACAGTAAGTCTGCTTTGAATACAATGCACCTTGTCTGATTCATGAAGGACGCTGCTCCTAATGTACCTTGACAGCAATGTAACACAGTGGTCCATCTGTCAGGGATTCCTGTTGCAATACAGCAGCAAATAACTGGGACATTTTATTCAGCCATGACAGGTATGACCTTCGCCACACCTCACGACCAGCAGTGCTGTCTTCCAAGAACATACGGGCTAAAAATATTTTTAAAAACATGATAAAATTGTGATATGACATTAGTGACATAGTGTAAACACGTTTTTTTTTTTGTTTTGTTTTTTTGCCAGCACCAACCTCGCTGCAGATCCTCAAAAGAAAGAATCTGAAAAGATGACATGGTGTAAGTTACCTGCAGTGCATTTATGCGGATATCCAGCAAACACAACTTAAGTTAGAGCTCTCTGTACCTGGTCACTGCTGAATATAGAATGCAAACACTGATGCGTTTCTTTGAAAACTAACTGGTGGTCCACCTTTGCCAAATGTTGCAACATCTGTTAAGTAAATATAAAGTTTCAATTAGATTCCCTTTTGTTTTAGGTATTGCACGGTGAAAACACACTGTCGGGCTTACCTGGTCCACTTTACGGCAGGCTGTGGAGATGCTGACCATTTGCAGCTGCGTGGAGAGGAGGAGTCTGACAAGAAGCTGAAGATGTCTCTCTTCTAACCCACGAATCTCTGCATCTGAAATTTGTCTCAGCAGCTGGAGACTCTCCTCCAAACAACGATCCTTGGATCTTTTCACACCGCTCCTGTTCAATCATAATTAAATCACTGATATATAATCTTACAAGACCGGAAGAATTATGTACTCCAACATGCTGAGAGAGATATATATATATATATGTGTATAGCTACTGCACAGTAGGTACCAACCTGGAGGATTGAGACAGTTTATCCAAAAAGAGTCTGAGTGTTTGGTTGGCATTTCCGGGAGCTTGATTTTCGGTGGTCACACAGTCTTGCAGACTTGTCATCAGGCCTTCTAAGGACAACATTGTTATATTAACTCCACTGTACAGACTTCTGATATTGCCAGATACATCGGCAGCACGCTGTGTGGCCAGTCACGTGATATAACTCTAATTCTACGCTTCTAAAATCAGTGGTGATCGTAGACTTACTGCGACATGCTCCCACCTAGAGGCTGACATATGCAGTCTTTTTTGTCCATATTAACTGTATTTATTGAAATAAAAGACATCCACAAACAAAATCGCATAATAAAAGACAAAGCATTCAACGTCCAAATACCTTCGAAGTATTATAATTTAATTAATTGTGCTTTAACTAAAAAAGTTATTTTACAGGCAGAAGGACTGACTCCTTAAATAAAGGTGCCTATGTACAGTATTTTTATGTAGCTATACAATGTGTACAGCTTTAAGGTACTTGTACTTGAGTATTTTCATTATGTGTTAATCCATAAGTATGACTGTGGTGGACAAATAGCGACCCATGGGGTTAATCTGGCCCTCCTCCGGAAATGTTTGGTCACTGAATGAAAACAAAACCCTCACCTGTAGTTTGTTTCAACACTATTTATTTATTTATTACAAATTTGTTTAGGCAATAAAATGTAAAAGCAAGGCTCATATAAATATCAACAGACATGATCTTGCAACATGTAATTATAATCAGTGATTTGTATATCAAACACACATAGGTGCTGACAACAACATCAGCAACATGTCCGTGCAGATTCTCAGCCATCCAGGTCATAGTCAGCAACACTTTCATTTAACCATAAATGAAACAGATAGTTGTTTTTCATGTGTGGATAACCTTTAATTTAAAACTTTCAATTCTTAGAGTAAAACACAAGACATAATTTTTTGCAGTTCTAACATAAGCTGCTGTAGGTTTGTCATGGGAAAATGACATCAGAACTTGGATACAAAAGGCTATTAAAACAACAATGTTAATAAACTTGTTCTATTTTTAAAAGAAATAACATACTCAAACTAGACAAATGCATTTCCTGAAGAAAATGTGTGTGGATGCTGATTGCTGAAGAATTGCCCTGAAAATGCTGAAATGGCTGAAATCCATAGCTTGGTGGTTAATGCCACTGACTTTGGTA